ATTAACCTATATATATATATATATATATATATATATATATATATATATATATATATATATATATATATGTTGAGTTGTGTAATTGTACACTCCGTAATATGTTAAGGTGAAAATGTTCTCGAGTGTGTATTATATAATTTCCATACCCAGCGTAAGCAGAAAGATAAAGTCTGCCGCGGCTGGGTCTTGAACCCGCGACCTTCGAATTACTAGATCGACGCTCTACCAACTGAGCTACATGCACGGTCAGACGGATTTTAAGACTGGAAATTATGAAATATATATATATATATATATATATATATATATATATATATATATATATATATATATATATATATATATATATATATATATATATATATATATATATATATATATATATATATATATATATATATATATATATATATATATATATATATATATATATAAATCTATCACTGAGCCAACTTTCTCTAGAGCCCAACATTTATATAAATCAATCAATGATACATCAGAGCTCGTATAACAACTTTTTATTACGTTTCGGGGCAAGCCCCTTCTTCAGATTACATGTGTACACTTGATTTCAACAATTTAAACTGTCCATACCCTAATTATAACAATTCGCACGATTAACTCTATTGTTCAAACAAAGTCTTTTAAATTCAACCCATGCGATTCAAATAAATTCAGTTAATATGCCCAAAAACCTTCTCTTCGTGTGGGGCATGCAACATTAGTTTTATCAATAATTTTAACTTTCACATCTTGCATACCATTATGACCTTGATAAAAAAAAATGGGCATACAAATGCTTGCCTGCCATACCCCTTTCACCTCTCCCATATCTATTCATTCTACTTTTGTGGTTGTTAAAACGTTTCCTAAAACTGTTAATTGTACTCCCCACATACTTTTTCCCACATTTTCTACAATAAATCAAATAAATCACCCCAGCCGAATCGCAATCAAAGTTGTAATTAATGTAGTATTTCACTTTTCCATCGAGAAATTCTTTCCCCTCATCTACATAATTACAAACTGACAACGAGTCTTATTACACTTACTCATCCCTACACTTACCTCCCTAGCCTTTTTAACCTTAGATCTAACCAAACTATCTTTTAAATTTTTTGGTCTCTTATATGAAACAATCGGCCTACTACCGAAGACATCACTCATCCTCTCCGATGTCTCCAGAATCGGCCAAAGTGTTTCCACGATTCCATTAATTTCCTTTAATGCCGGATGAAATTCTACTACCAGTGGTACTCTATTACTCAAGTTAGAATTCTTCCTCTTATCCGTTTGGCGTAACACTTCAGCCCTATCCTTAACTTTAACCTCAGAAAACTGATCCTTAACCAACTTTTTGTTAAATCCTCGCTTAATAAAATGACCTTCCATTTCTTTAAGCCTATCCTGAAAAACTTTTTCCAAACAACAAATCCGTTTTAATCTTAGCGCATGACCATAGGCGATTGCCTTCTTCACATGTGCAGGATGACAAGACTTGAAGTCTAAGTATTGATGTGTATCAGTCGGTTTTGAATACACATCCGTTTGCAATTTACCGGACTCCAATTCCACCCGCACATCCAAATAAGACACCCCCCTTTCTTAGGCAGCGATTTTGTGCACAATGGATGCTGTGGGACTGTACCCGCATATTCCTCATTTGGAAGGTCTGTCTAGTATGAGAAAAAGTATGGAGGATTTGAGAAAAAATTGTGGTATGGATAAAGGGGAGGGACTTTCTGTAGATGATTTGATTGATTTAGCCAAAATATGTTAGATAACAATTATTTTGAATTCGGTGAAAAAGTGTATAAACAAAAGTTAGGGACAGCCATTGGCACAAAATTTGCTCCAGCGTTTGTAAATATTTTTATGGCAGAAATGGAAAATAAAATGTTGGCGGGGTATCACTTGAGTCCTTCAGTATGGCTCAGATTTTTGGATGATATATTTTTTATTTGGCTTCATGGTAAAGAATCCCTGTTGGAATTTTTAAATTATATTAACAATTATCATGAAACAATTAAATATACATGGGTAAATTGCAAACGGATGTGTATTCAAAACCGACTGATACACATCAATACTTAGACTTCAAGTCTTGTCATCCTGCACATGTGAAGAAGGCAATCCCCTATGGTCAGGCGCTAGGATTAAAACGGATTTGTAGTTCGGAAAACGTTTACCAGGACAGGCTTAAAGAAATGGAAGGTCATTTTATAAAGCGAGGATTTAACAAAAAATTGGTTAAGGATCAGTTTTCTGAGGTTCAAGTTAAGGATAGGGCTGAAATGTTACGCCAAACGGATAAGAGGAAGAATTCTAACTTGAGTAATAGAGTACCACTGGTAGTAGAATTTCATCCGGCATTAAAGGAAATTAATGGAATCGTGGAAACACTTTGGCCGATTCTGGAGACATCGGAGAGGATGAGGGATGTCTTCGGTAGTAGGCCGATTGTTTCATATAAGAGACCAAAAAATTTAAAAGATAGTTTGGTTAGATCTAAGGCTAAAAAGGCTAGGGAGGTAAGTGTAGGGATGAGTAAGTGTAATAAGAGTCGTTGTCAGATTTGTAATTATGTAGATGAGGGGAAAGAATTTCTCGAGGGAAAAGTAAAATATTACATTAATTACAACTTTGATTGCGATTCGGTTGGGGTGATTTATTTGATTTACTGTAGAAAATGTGGGGAGTACAATTACCAGTTTTAGGAAACGTTTTAACAATCACAAAAGTAGCATGAATAGATATGGGAGAGGTGAAAGGGGTATGGCAGGCGAGCATTTGTATATGCTCATTTTTTTTATCAAGGTCATAATGGTATGCAAGATGTGAAAGTTAAAATTATTGATAAAACTAATGTTGCATGTCCCACATAAAGAGAAGGTTTTTGGGCATATAAACTGAATTCGTTTGAACCGCATGGGTTGAATTTAAAAGACTTTGTTTGAACAATAGAGTTAATCATGCGAATTATTATAATTAGGATATGGACAGTTTAAATTGTTGAAATCAAGTGTACACATGTAATTTGAAGAAGGGGCTTGCCCCGAAACGTAATAAAAAGTTGTTATACGAGCTCTGATGTATCATTGATTGATTTATATATATATATATATATATATATATATATATATATATATATATATATATATATATATATATATATATATATATATATATATATATATACATATGATGGTTTGATGGTTTTGATCATGGTTTTGATGTCCCACATCATCATCAAAACCATGCCAGAGCGCTCAACTGCAAGCAGTGAGCGTGCGCAATGCGTATAAGTGGCATGGCTCATCATGTAGAGCGCTCAATATGACCTAAAGGCCATAGAGCGATATATATATATATATATATATATATATATATATATATATATATATATATATATATATATATATATATAAAATAGTTTGTGTTGGATTATAAAAACCAATGATAGAGTGCTCAATGGATAACCAGAGCATAATAGAAAGACACAAAAACTTAGCAAGCTTTGTTTGGCATATTTATTACTATACAGATTCGTACCACGTAAATAACGTGGCACTCTTCAGAAGAGTGCCACGTTATTTACGTGGTACGAAACTGTATAGTAATAGATATGCTAAACAAAGCTTGCTTAGTTTTTGTGTCTTTCTATATATATATATATATATATATATATATATATATATATATATATATATATATATATATATATATATATATATATATATATGTATATATATATGTATATATAAGCTTACTTCAAAGCCTGTTCTTTTCTCTTTCAAACAAACTATTATCCTTGTCTCCAATGCTAGTAATAATTGCACAGGAAAAGATTTAGTAAAACCTATCATTTTTAGTTGCTGTTTAAATTATGCAAGTTTACTATGTTATTGTTTAGTCGGTTTTAATGTTAGAATTTTCTTCTTTAAACTTTAATGTTGTCGTCACTACATCTGGAAAACCACGTAAGAACAAATTAAAAGTATTTTAAAAGAGACCAGGTTGTTTGAAAATCTAAACGAATGCTAAAAATCGTCAAAACATTCTGGTGTCTGAGCCAGAGTGTCATCGAATTGCGATGTAATGTAAACAGAAATTATAGCAAGTTGATGTCAGTCAGCTTAGATGGTCCAAGCCAAAATTATATCGCATTTGAAGTTTCAAACTGAGTTAAAAATAGTGGAAGAAAAGCCGTAATTGTACTTATTGTTACAATCCATTTAATAAAATGCAACATTTTTTGTTTTAATGAAAAAATCAGTTATTTTCATGAGAACGATTTGTTATTCCATCTCAATTTTTTAATCTCCAATCGCAATAACGTAAAGTATTATTAGCCGCGAACCAATGAGTCAAATTTAAGAAACAACCCACTGTTAGAAAGCTGAATGGCTACGCTTTAAAATGAATGTAAACTTTAACGTTTTCGTCTATTATTTGTTTGGCAATTTACATTTCAGTCGAGGATTGCGCTTTTTTTT